CATGAATAAGATTAGATGACCGGAGCATTGAAGCCCAGTTTCATGGGTTGGGGGGTATAACAAGAGTTGAACATCAGGCTTGCTTGACGGAATAGGCCACAGGTGCATGTCATGGTCATTAGAATTGGTATCCATATCTGATAGGTTTCTACTTTGTAGTTTTCTTGCTAGGAATCATCTCTTTCCATTGTCCTTTACTCTGTTCCTTTTGTCTTGTTTACTTCCTCTTCCTGAGTCTGTTTGGTCAGAACAAGTGAGAAATGACTTCAAAATTGGCCACCATCTTTCCAATTGCACAAAACGGGATTTGGCTAGCACATCAAAGTGGCATAAGTCAGGAAAGAATAATGCGGCACTGAGTTGGTAACAATCGACATGCCTTGGGGATTCATGCGAAATACAAAGGTTTGGTATATATCAATTCATGAACAATGCAACAGATAGAGGATGTTGGGTGAACGAATCAAAGCTATTATCTGTGATGAGGTTGACAGAGAAAGTGGTTAACCAATGAAAAGCAAGGTCTTCCAAGCGGAAATCAAAGTTATCATGGCAAGTGAAGGAACAATAGAACTCAAGGCCAAGGCCAGTGGTTTAAGTCGAGAAAGAACAATATATGCACTGAGTGGGTGGCAACTGACGTGCTTTGGGATTCATGTGAAACACAAAGGGTTGGTAAATGTCAGTTCATGAGCAATGCAACAAATAGAGGGTATCAGGTCTGAATGAAGAAAAGGTATTTTCTGTGATACGGGTGGCAAAGAAATTGGTTGGTCATTAAGTAAGCAACGTCTTTCAAGGTGAAATCAAAGTTATCATGAAAAGTGAAGGAGCAATCGCCGCAAAGTCAAGGCCACAAACCAACCACCATGTTTAAACTCACAAGTTTTCTTTGTCTGAAACAGGGACGGAAGCTATGTTCATACCAAAGCNAATTATTTTCGTATCGGGGGGGTGGCTGCCGATCTACCCTATGGCTGGATAGATAAATGTTTGGATTTTTGCGATTATTTTTTAACAGGGGTTGCTGAGTATCAAAAACTTATTACCCGGAATCCTATTTTTTTAGAACGAGTTGAAGGCGTAGGCATTATTGGGGGAGACGAAGCATTAAATTGGGGTTTATCGGGACCAATGCTACGAGCTTCCGGAATAGAATGGGATCTTCGTAAAGTTGATCATTATGAGTCTTACGACGAATTTGATTGGCAGGTTCAATGGCAACGAGAAGGGGATTCATTAGCTCGTTATTTAGTACGAATCGGTGAAATGACAGAGAGGTATTTTCTGTGATAAGGGTGGCAGAGAAAGTGTTAGTCAATAAGCAAGCAATGTCTTTCAAGGTGAAATCAAAGTTAACATGGCAAGTGAAGAAGCAATCGCCCTCAAAGTCAAGGCCACAAACTAACCACCATGTTTAAACTCACAAGTTTTCTTTGTCTGAAACAGGGATGAAGGCTATGTTCATATCAAAGTTCGAAAGCTTGAATTTTTTAGATGTAATGCCCCAATGCTGCTTACGCAAAGGCTATTGAGAGGATCACACATCACCCCTAGGAAAAACACTGCCTAGTCTGGGTTTTCAAGTTATATTTTGTTGTAGGAGACGCACTTCCTAAATGGAGTTTTACCCATAGGAGACGCACTTCCTAAATTGAGAGTTCATTCATAGGAGACGCACTTCCTTGTTTGAATCATTGAAGTTTCACCCGTAGGAGACGCACTTCTTAGTCTGGGGTTTTTAGGATACACCTGTAGGAGATGCACTTCCTAAATTGAGATTTTACCCCTAGGAGACGCACTTCTTAGTCTGGGTCTTTCAGGATACACCTGTAGGAGATGCACTTCCTAAATTGAGATTTCACCCCTAAGAGACGCACTTCTTAGTTTCAGTCATTTAAGTTAGGCCCTAGGAGACGCACTTCCTAGTCAAGGTCTTTCAAGTTATTCTTTTAGGAGACGCACGTCCTAAATTGAGAGTTCATTCATAGGAGACACACTTCCTAGTTTGGTTCATCGAAGTTTTACNATCACTGAAGTTTCACCTCTAGGAGACGCACTTCCCAGTCTAGGTTTTTCAGGGTATACTGTTTAGGAGACACACTTCCTAAATTAAGAGTTTACCCCTAGGAGACGCACTTCCTAGTCTGGGTCTTTCAGGATATACATTTAGGAGACGCACTTCCTAAATTGATAGTTCATTCATAGGAGACGCACTTCCTAGTTTGAGTCATTGAAGTTTCACCCGTAGGAGACGCACTTCCTAATCAAGGTCTTTCAAGTTATTCTTTTAGGAGACGCACGTCATAAATTAAGAGTTCATTCATAGGAGACGCANGTCTAGGTCTTTCAGGATATACCTTTAGGAGACGCACTTCCTAAGTTTATTTTCACCCATAGGAGACGCACTTCTTAAGTTTATTTTCACCCATAGGAGATGTACTTCCTAAATTGAGAATTCATTCATAGGAGACGCACTTCCTAAATTGAGAGTTCATTCATAGGAGACGCACTTCCTAGTTTGAGTTATTGAAGTTTCACCCATAGGAGATGCACTTCCTAAATTGAGATTTCACCCCTAAGAGACGCACTTCTTAGTTTGAGTCATTTAAGTTATGACCTAGGAGACGCATTTCCTAGTCTGGTTCATTGAAGTTTTACCCATAGGAGACGCACTTCCTAAATTGGGAGTTCATTCATAGGAGACGCACTTCCTAGTTTGGTTCATTCAAGTTTCATCCCTAGGAGACGCACTTCTTAGTCTGGGTCTTTTAGGATACACCTGTAGGAGATGCACTTCCTAAATTGAGATTTCACCCCTTAGAGACGCACTTCTTAGTTTGAATCATTTAAGTTAGGCCCTAGGAGACACACTTCCTAGTCTGGTTCATTGAAGTTTTACCCATAGGAGACGCACTTCCTAAATTAAGAGTTCACTCATAGGAGACGCACTTCCTAGTTTGAGTCATTGAAGTTACACCTGTAGGAGACACACTTCCTAAATTGATAGTTCATAGGAGACGCACTTCCTAGTTTGAGCCATTGAAGTTTCACCCATAGGAGACACACTTCCTAAATTTAGAATTCATTCATAGGAGACGCACTTCCTAATCTGGTTCATTGAAGTTTTACCTGTAGGAGACGCACTTCCTAATCAAGGTCTTTCAAGTTATTCTTTTAGGAGACGCACGTCCTAAATTGAAAGTTCATTCATAGGAGACACACTTTCTAGTTTTAGTCACTGAAGTTTTCACCCCTAGGAGACGCACTTCCTAGTCTTGGTTATTTAAATTCACCCCTAGGAGACGCACTTCCTAATTTGGTTCATTCAGGTTTTATTTTAGCAGACGCATTTGCTAGTCAAAGTTACTTGGTTTTACTCGTAGGAGACGCACATCCTAATCTAGTCTTTAGTTTACTCTCATCATTGCATCAGTAGTATAAGTGGTTTACAATATTGCTAACAACTCACAAATCTTCCTAGTGCAAACTGGGGCAGAAAATTTCGTTTGTTTTGTTTGATTTGATTGCAGGCACCCATATAGAAAACAAGGGAACACAGAAAGTTTCAGCAATCAGACGCCCACCTGGAGAACAAGGGAAGACAGTTCAAGTTTCAAGGGAAAACAATTCAAGTTTCAGAGGAAAGGAATACAATTCAAGCGTTGGAAATCAGGCGCCCACCTGGAGAACTAAAGAGAAAGCAGCAATGTTCAAAGGAAGACGATAATCAGGAGCCCATATGGAGAACGAAGGAAAAGCAATTCAAGTTTCAAAGGAAGATAGCACAGATTTCATGGGAAAGCAGCAAGGTTCCAAGAAAGACAGTTCGAATGTTAGCAATCAGGCCCCTACCTGGAGAATAAGAGAATTCACTTCAGAATGCAATTCAGGTCAGCAACAAAAGAAGCTCGCGGCAAGAATACGAGTCAATATTCCGAGGTGATCAACAGAAGTTAATCACAATAAAGAAAGAAAAAGGAGAAAGGCAAGAAGTTAATCCAAATGCAGAAGTTGTTGAAAGATGTGGGCTGCTCAAGACATGGCCAAGGCCACAGCATGCCTGGTCCTGATCCGAAAAGCCGAAGCAGGATGAACTAGCACCTGGAACTAGCAAGCGCCAAGGTTCAAATCTAAAGTCTGCATGAAGAACCATTCAAGACTCAAGATCAAGCTTCAGAAGACTTATAGATAGGAATCTTGTAACTCATAGTTGTCAGGCTTAGCTAGTCTTTTTCATTTCTTTTGATTTTGATGTAATAACAGGACCGCGGACCGGGACCTTGGCGGAACGACACTTCGACTGGCTTTCCATCTCGGCATACTCCATCATCTCACTCACTTCTGAACTACACTGACCTGATTCCTTTACAGCCAAGGATATGTAGCCAACCTCGGAAGCAAGGTTCGGTCAAATCTTTCAAAAATGCTTCCTACGGAGTATCCAAACGGGCAAAAATCGCTCGTATCCGCTCACTTTATCTTTGCACGAAAACCCTTCGGGTTTCCGAGCAAAGAGGGACAGCTGTGAGCACGTGATTTTTGCCCTACATGAAAATAACTCCTAAAAAATAGACCAAAAGTAATTTTTATTAATTTTAGGATTTTTTCTTTGTTTATTTGCATTTCATGCATTTTTAACATTTTTAAATCATAGAAAAATCCTAAAAAATTGTCATTTTTACATATTTATCTTTTACTCTCTAAAATTAACATCTTTTCTTTAGTTTTAAGTTAATTAGTTGTTTTAATATAAAATAAATAAATAATTTTAATTTCTACAAAGATAGATTGATTTAGGATTTTAATTAATTAAAGAAAAGAAAGAAAAAGAAAGAAAACAAAAGAAAAGGTTGGTTTTAATATTGGGCCACCCCAAAGAGCAAATACAATGGCTACCCAATTCCCAAACAACCCAAGCCCAAACCCGCCTGACCCGACCCAATGCCCAAAAACCCATCTTCTTTTAATAAAGAGCTAACCTAGAAGACCGCGCCTGATACCCAAAAAGAAAAAGGCAGCCGCAATTCTCGAAGATCAGAGAACCTCACACCTCCATCGGTTCTGCTTCTTCTTCAAAGAGAAACGACGCCTAAGAGACCAACAGGGACGGAAATCCGTCGCCGTTTTCACACAATCCCACGCCTGAACCTTAGCTGTCGTCTTCTTCATGGAGACTTAAGGGAAGCAACCATCTCTAACAAAAGAACAACAAAGCAGCCATCACTCATCTTCCCCTCGCCGGGAAACATGTGGTTTCAGTGGCCCTCCATTGAATCCGGCGAAGCAGGGGTTCGAACCAGCAGCTCTCGTCCTCTCTTCATCTTTTAAAAATAGCAGCACACCCCAAAACTCTCGTCGCCTTTTCAGAGCTTGGGTCGTCGTTACTCAGTCTTCGATTTTGGGTTCGAGTTTGAAATTTTGTCGGGCTTCAGGTTGGTCAGATGCTCTCCGGTCTGGTCTAGGTCGAGTTGACCAGCTTTCCGTTAGCAGATCCGAGGTCATCGTTGAGGTTCCGGCGAGTCATTTGGTTTCCCTGTTCAAGGTTCTCGTTTGCTTGATGATTTGAGAATCGTTGCGATTGTAAAAGTCGATCTTCTTTCAGATTACACGTAAGTGTTTGAATTCTTAATTCGTTGTTTTGGTTGAAATCGCTTTACATGTTCTGATTAGTTATTTTCTTAATACTTCTGTTGGGCCTTGTTTGACGAGCTTTTGTCGTTTTAACCTGATTCTTGTATGGCTTAAACCTTCTGTGCGTCGTTGATAATTTTCAGATTTTTCGTAAGGTCAGATGAATGTTAGCTCAATTCTCACAAGTTGAAGCTTCTGCTTTGAGTTTAATGTTCTATTTCAGTTCTTTTTGAGTAAAAAGGGTGATGCTATCTTGCAAATTCAAAACATGAAAGTTTGTTTCCTTGCAAGTACAAATTGCAAAACAGGGAAAGTATAATCCACTGGGCTTGGTTCATTCTCGTGATATATTTCATTTTTATACAACAGAAAGTGACAATGACTTTAAAATGAAGGGTCGACGTCTCTTGAGAATACCAATTGAAGAGTTGTGACTTTGTGGCTGTTTTGACACTTTGTGGCTGTGTTATGATTTCGTCCACTAGTCTGCTTTACTCTCATTTGTTTATTTCGTTTGAAATTGGTTTGTTAAATCTGTAAGGATATTGAGTTGCTTTCTAGTTTTTTAAGAGTTATTAATTGGATGCACATCCTCATGACGTGATTACGGTTTCTAATATGAGTATCCGTAGTTCATTTAGTTGAATAGTTTGAGTCGTGCCATTCACATTTGAATCATATAATCTATGGCCCTCTAATTTAGAAACTTGGGTAGAATAATTTGAGGTGCCCCATTCCAAACAAAAATGACAAATGCATGGCCCTCGCTTGGTTAATCTTGTATAAATCCTTAGAATTCGAGGCGTACCATTTAGCAAATTTCCATGGCCCTCGCAAAGTCAAAAACGCGTAGTTGCTTTAGGCGCGTTGTTTTAATAATATTATCTTCCTAAACTCGGGGGCGCATTTCATGTTAACCAAATCCAAATCTTAATGACGTTGAATAAAATATGTTGCGGATTGCGGGTGCATTTCATGTGGCACGATCCAAAGACATATTTTAGACGACGTTAAATCTTCTTTAAAAAATGAATAAAAGCGGTTAAAAGTTAAAATTTGCACATAGGTTCAAAATGTTCTAAAATCAGATAATTAAGCCGAGTATAACAGTTGAGCGACCGTGCTAGAACCACGGAACTCGGGAATGCCTAACACCTTCTCCCGGGTTAACAGAATTCCTTATCCGGCTTTTTTGTTCGCGGACTGTAATATAGAGTCAATCTTTTCCTCGATTCGGGATTTGAACCGGTGACTTGGGACACCATAAATATTCCAAGTGGCGACTCTGAATCTTTAATAAATATAATCCCGTTTCGATTGTCCTTTAATTGGAAAAACTCCCTTTATTATACCCCTTTCGGGGGTGTAGTGAAAAAGGAGGTGTGACAACTAAGTGTCCCAAAACTCTCCGAAACTCCAAATGATTCCTCACGGCAACTCACAATAGCAGAAACAAATACGGGGAAAGCAGTTAATAGGAGATCGGGGCGTAAATTCTTAAAACGACCGGCCGAGTCGTTACAATAAGTTAAAATTGGAAAAAGACAACAAACTGACAAGAAGATGATAATATTCTTGCATCAAATCAATTATAGAAGTTTCTTCTATCTGGCCAACTGAAGTACTACGGTTGAATTTGATACAAATAAAAAAGGAAATTTGGTCTTCTTGATTAGATGATCAAATGAGAGTCTCAATTCTTCGACTTGGCAATTAAATAAGTTTTGGCAGATTTGATAACAGTCTGCAATGGCTCAACCATGGTAAAATATCGAATTATATTATAGTGTATAGGAATGTAAAAATGCAAATATGGGCTATTTTTGGTTGTGAGATTGGGCCGACCGACATAGGAGGGTAATTCTTTCTATTTTTAAACCTTTTCCAATAGTAGGGGCATTTTTAATCCTTTTCAAAAAAAAAGAAAAAGAAAAACACTTCCGATAAAATATAAAAAGGAAAAAAAGAAGACAAGCCAACTAGCAAAGGAAGAGATCTATCGCCATATTAGCCTATGCCCATAGTTTTTTCTTCATTATGTTTTATCGTGTAGAAGATTGAAGTGCTCAAAAATCACACTGGTAAATTGCTTTCCTCTCATGTACATACACATTTCAAGCAAGAATACTATGAGCAAATGTTTGTTTATATGGGTAAACTGTTTTGCTTCTGCATCGCGTTTCAGCATAATATGTTATTACCAACCGATTAACATTTTTTTATCACTACTATTGATGTAGTAAATTATGCCTTCTTAAGAGAATTATTTTTGGGGTGATAATCGTGTGGGGCAAACGAGGCTACAATTTAATTTTCGCTTCGATTTCCGTTATGTGATTCTCAAATGAAAGGAACATGCACTAGGAATTACGTCTATATATAAGGAAGTATTAGCTGAAATACAATTCATTACATATTTGTAGCCGCCACTACAATTTAATTTCATGGGATATATGCTACCTCGGCTCCCACTAGGGTCAATTGGGCGGAGTGGTAACTCATTTGAGGCCCTTACGTTTTTCCCCCAATTTAAGTACTGGAGGTAGTGAATTGTATGCATTCAAGTGGGTTCTTTTTCATTTGATTGATCCATTGTGCTGCATTTGTAATCTACTGAAGTTGATTATAATCTGTTTCAGTTATTACTTGGTTTTGAACTAGAAATACTATGAATATGTGATTATTTGGGCAATTGAAGTAGGAAAAAAAGGAACTGTTTAACTAGGGCTATGTACACTTCTTTTTAGTTCGTAATTTGAAAATTTGAAGAATATGGCTAGAAGTGCATGATAGAGGTAGACCATGAAAATTGTATATATCTAAAAGGAATCTGCTGTGATGAGTAGAAAGTTGGCATATTGTTGTTCATTTTTCACTCGATAACAGATGGAGTCTGAAAGATTGACTTTCTTGATTCTATTGTCAAAAAGTTTTTTAGAGGGTGTCATGGGTTTGAGCAAAACTGAAGTGAACTTGAAGAGATTACTTGTAACTGCACCACAACAGCAAAATCAAGCAAAGCTTATACATGTAAGTGCATATATCATTCAAGTTCGATTCTTTATAAAGGAATGATGGTTGCATTTCCTCATTTTTCTTTTCATTCTTCGAAATAGCTGGATGCTTTTTGTTGCATTTATGTGAGACTGGTCGTGAATATGATGAGTTTATCATATATATATATATATATATATATATATATATATATATATATTAAGACATTATATTCTTGTACAGATGATTCTAGTCCTTAAAGGTTTAAACTTTCTGATCACTATGACATGCCTATACTCTAATATGGATTTTTGTAATTTAATTTCATGTTTTGGTGTTTGAGTGTGGGTACATCTGGTTATCTCATTTGGGGAAGTGTTTTTAGACCTCAATCACATGTTATAAATGCACAAAAAGGATGTTTGGTCATCTTGATTTCCCGAGCTATTAAGAGGCTTATTTCTGTGACTTTGATGATATGCTTTAAGAAGCTTACTTTGAAACACTAGGCTTGTGTAAAAGAATCTAATAGGTTCTTTGACTAACAGTAGATCAGTAGCTATATGCTTTTGTTTTTTTATTTAAAATTTTCTCTTCATCTTGTTAATTATTTTGCTAGAGGTTTTTAAGAATTTAAACAATGTGCTATTTAATGGAGCTCATATTATCTGTGTGGGCTGTGAGCATTTAAGAGTACGCCTTCTTTGTATTTTGGGAGCTTTAAATATTTGGGCAGCTTCGAGTGAACTAGTAGCTCTGTTGATTCACTAACACAATGGAGGATGATGGGGATTTCCATTGTCCAATCCCCATATGAATTCATCCTTAAAAAAGGCTATGTATTTTCATCCTACTTTGGGTTAATATCAGATAAAGGCATAATGCTACTGATTAAGTGGGTCTTTCCTCAAGTAATTTTATATGGACCGTTTGGAAAGAGATGAACCATTGTGCATTTGATGGACAGAGAGGACTAATGGTTAACTCTGCCCGCTTGTTAAATATACTTTCTCCTATTTTAGTTAGTGTTGGTAAGAGTGTAGTCCAGTGATAGTGTTCTAGGGGTTCAATATTGGGACTGGAGTGCACTGGTATAAAATACTTGGCTTCTCTAAGGATACATGTTTTCGGACTTTAACAATAACAACAACAACAAAAAACCCAGTGAGTTCCCACTAGCGGGGTCCGGTGAGGGTAAGATGTACGCAGATTTTGCATACAAATTTTGTATACAATGTTGCACCCCACTTGCATGCCTTCAACACATTTTACCTGTAAAAAATTTTGTTTGGAGCAAAAGTACTTATTCTCTGACATAGTTGTTATTTGTGAAAGTTAATAATTCTACGTGCACGCAGCCGCAAATTGTGACATGGGTTGTTTCTTTGAAAAGCTTTTCAGAAAATCATGGCATAGGCAATTTGCTAATGTGGGGAATTGTGCAATTTTTGTCATCTCGATTTTCTTTGAACAGGGATATGCATTTATTATTTCTATTTGTTACATCTTTCACAGTATGTTGCTACTTTGCGCGAACTGCTGGAGCAGGTGGCTGAAGAGAGGAATCCAGACGGATTACCAAGGTCTATATGCTTTATTCTTTTCCAATTATATAATTTGAAGAAAATTACATGTTGCTACACAAATTTCCAGCACTTTTGGGTTCCTTACCTTCTGTGATTTTTTTAATGAAGTCCCTGCATTTTGTTTCTTTAGTTGGAGTTATCGTTTAAATTTAAATGTATGCTGCCTAGCCATTTCACTCTACGTAAGTAATAGATTGAAAACCCTCTCAGGATCGATTAAAAGGAAATCACACTCTTTCACTCTCAACTCCCCCTACCCTTCTCCAAATTTGGACATATTACAGTTATATTTTTGAGTCAGTGGACAAATATCCTGCCTATAATGAAAAATCCGCATCCTGAGCATGACTAATAGCCTAGTATTGTGACACTGGAAGTCATGATGCTGGGATTAGTAATCTTTGTGCTGTCCATTTGGCGGTGTGCAGCACCATACCACAGGAGGACAATAATTCCTTTCATGCATCCCTGGTCATTCCACAGATAACTCTACTTTTTCTTAATCTACTGCTCAAGGAGAATGTTTTATATGTTTATTAACTTGGCTTGACGTGGTATATATTCTTAACGGGTCTCTTATTTTATTTTTAGTTACCAGATGCTTTTTTCCTGATGTTTGTTCCATTTTCATGTTGTTTCCCAAAACAGAGTTTCAAAAGCCAAGGTGAACGAATATGCAGAGAACATTGAAGCCATTGCTGCCAAGTTAGCTGTGCCCATGGTATGCGCAAGCTAGTTTCATTTTTTGTGATTTATCATTCCGATTCACCTTGCTTTCTTATACGAAAACATATCATATGGAGGTATTTTACTGTTTTTACGGAATATGAAAGAGCTGGCATTTTTTTTATCAATAGGCTGTCACTGAAGTTTAGTGCATTATTTGCTCTGTTAGTCCATAGTGCTCAGCATTTCAGACTTCACCATTCTTTTGGCCTTACTGCTACTGTTGTTTCCATAACTCCGTTCTTTTGATGTCTTTGAACGTGGTTCAATCTTCTCTTCTGGAGTCTATCTTTCAACTTATATTAGATCAACTTGTTATAGTCATATGCAAGTAGTCTGTCGAAAATGTTTTTGCTTCTATTTGTATATGATTAATATATCAATGATCTGCTATTGTCGTTTAACCAAATCCAGTCTGATGTGCAAACACCTGAGGAACCTGTGGCCGAGACTTCGAGCAGCGGAACTCCCAAAGCAGAAGACAGTGTGAGTTCTGCTTCTGAAGGACTGAGAAGAAGAGTCGGGTACCTGCATGGCTCTTTTGTCATTTATAGCCGTTGTAATGTGCCGTTTATCAGTATCTCGCTTGAACGTAATTTTTTTTGGAGTGAAACAGGGTCCATTCAAACAATGAGGAGAGATCTCGAGACTCCATTGGTTCTGATCAATCAACTGCAGTCAAATTGGATGATGCTGCACGGACACATATTGAGAAGCACAGGTGCTCTATCTGTACTTCTTTTCCTTATTGATACTTATAGACAGTTTTATGTGTTGGCATCTGTTCCACCAAGGGATTTCTGGTGTGTATTTGTTCCTGTAAAGAAGCAGCTTTCCATGTGTGGTTAAAAGTGATAGTGGTTTTGCGCTCTTCTTTAGTTATTAGAAAAAATAGTTGATATGCTATTAAATATAACCAGAAAAGTCCCTGTATAAGGGAAGCAAGATACTCCTTTCTTTTAGGATACTCCATATCTTTTTTTTTTCCTCTCTTTTATTTACTAAGTAGAAGAGATGGAGCACACCGAGAGCCTGTTTGGCCAAGCTTCTCTTTGGCCAAAAGTGCTTTTTTTTTTTTTTTTTTTTGCCAAAAGCACTTTTGGCCAAAAATTGAGGCGTTTGGCCAAGCTTTTGAAAGGAAAAAAAAGTACTTTTGAGGAGAAGCGGAAGCAGTTTTGGAGAAGCAGAAAAAAGTAGCTTCTCTCCGAAAGCACTTTTTTGAGAAGCACTTTTGAGAAAAATACACTTAAAAGCAGTTTTTTAAAGCTTGGCCAAACACTAATTGCTGCTCAGAAGTGCTTTTCAAACTAATTAGCCAAACACAAACAGCTTCTCACCAAAAGCACTTTTGAGAAAACACTTTTGGAAAAAAGCACTTCTCAAAATAAGCTGATTTTTGCAGCTTGGCCAAACGGGCTATAAGCCTTTATGAGCTACGTACAAGTCTGCCACTTTGTTGGCTAATCAGCTATATGCTGTATGGCTAACAGCTTGCCTTTCTGAAGTTCTCTTAGATGATGTAGGTTGGCAATTTTGACATTCTAGTTAAGGTAGCATTTCAAATTGATTGAGCTGAAGAGAAGCATCTTTTAACTAACTGTTCATTTTCATTTGTGTAAGTTTTAGAATTTCTTTTTGTGCCTTGAGTGCTCTGAAATTGCATCAATTTGACATACTAAACTAATCTTAGCTCTGAGGTTATATGCACCCCAGTTCCCAGTTATGTTTGATGGACTTGGCTACACAGGTAGTTTTTTTTTTGCTAATTTATAGTGTATTTTGAAGAATCCACATGAATGCCCACACTCGCAGTAGGCACTGTTTGACACACACATTTCTGTCACAATAAGTAAATAAATAAATGATCAATGTGATGCAGAGCCTATCAAGCTCCAACACTTTTTGCTTAAACTATAGTTGGAGTCTTCAGACTGATGGTTTGACAATTGCCTTTCATTAAAGTTGGGGGCTACTCTGAAATCTGGCTTGATCAACATCATAGGAAGGAGCTTTAATGCTTCTTTCATAGAGTTAATGCAAAAAAGAATGGGCGTTGCAATTAGAAAATTATATTTCCATGAGTTTTATATAAGTATGTTTTATGGATAACATGCTAATAAAGCTAGCTGAAAGGTTGAAATTAGCATTTACTAAATTAGTCTGATTCTCAATATGCTTTTGTGAATGGAGGCAGATAATAGACTTACAGCTGCATTTTGCTGCAAGCCTGCAACACATATGTTTGTCCAACCTTTTCCGTTGTAGGAGAAAAGTTACAAGAAAAATTAATCACTTATTTGTGCAATTTTTCTTTTCTCTGGAGAGGGGCGAGGGTAGATAGGGAGAGTCTCCTGATCATTTATCAGATGTTCTCATCTTTTGCAGGAAACTTCAGGAGGACTTGACAGATGAAATGGTTATTTTGGCACGGCAGCTCAAAGAGAGTAGTCTCATGATGAATCAATCTATCAAAAATACTGAGAAAGTAAGTTTTATATTTCTTTTCACTCTGCTTAAATTGTTGGGAACCATCTCCAATTTTTGCTTCGAGAATGATTTTGCCGTCTCCAAATCATTTAAACTATTTTGCCTGTAGGAGGCAATTGAGATTATTGGTGGCACATACCATCTTTTCTGACACAACAATTATTTTTGTAGTCACTCTGGCATTACATGTTTGAACATTCTTTAGTAGTTCAGTGTGAAAAAGATATGGAACTGTAGCGTACAATCTGTTTGGATTCACTCGAATTCAGAGTTATCTTGTCAAGTTATGATCTTTTCCTTTTCTCTCTTGTTAAACTTGGTTACTTTGTGTACATTGGCCTCATAATTGTCACATATAATGTGGATGCAGATACTTGATTCAACTGAGAAAGCAGTTGAGCATAGCCTAGCAAGTACAGGGCATGCAACTTCCAGGGCTATGGATGTGTATTCCCGGAGTTTCAAGACTACATGCTTCCAGTGGCTCTTGATCTTTGTCATGACATTAGTTTTTGTCATGGTTGTATTACTTATTCGAGTGACTTAGCAGCCGACCCCTTTGTTAGTGGAGATTTGACAAAATGCTTGGTTTTTTTGTTACCGTGTATAGTACCAGAGGATACCTCATGAGTAAAATGTAATCTGTAATTTTAGTTTAACAAAGTTAAAGTTATTTTGGGGGGTCGGAGGTTATACAATTCTTTAAATGCTGAAGGTGAAGTGTGAAAAACACCTGCATTACTCAATTTTTTTAAGCTTAATTCAATATGCTTTGTTGATATAATATTGATTGTCAAGGTCTGCCTTCACATTGATTTAATTTGGATTAGCTGATCTGAAGTAGCTGATAAATATTAAGTGCTGAAAAGTACTTTTAAGTGCTGAAATTAATTTAATAAATAAGCAGTTCGCGTTAGGGTACAAGTGCTGAAATTGATAATAAGTTGCAGTATTTGATAAAAAAGTGCTGATAAGCTCTTTTTCTGTTAAAATGGCTTAAATAACCTTAGAACTGTTTACACTTATACGGGCGTAATTTTTTTAAAATTTTAGATTTCAGATCTATTCAAATACAAAATATTTTATTTGTCATTTTATTTTAAATACAACTGTGCTTAGATAAGATAATTTTTGTGATAAATATAAATTATTAAATTATATGATAAGCATATAACCATAAGTTATAATAATTAATATATTGACAAAAGTTTCTCAGTGAAAATAAACCTAAATAGGACAAAATATTTGAAGAGACACAAACACTATCTTCATCACCAATCCGGATCGGATCGAGCAATAAGTGAAGGAGCTTGACCAATCCCAATGAGGGAAGTAGTGAAAGAGAAGCGGAAGGGACATCTTGAACTCAGGCAACACTTAGAAAGCAATACACCACAAATTTGATATGTACTCATGTATTACATACAGTTCAGAGATTAATACGCAATCACATAGATATAAATATGCAAAGGAAGAGAGAATTTACTTATCTTAAATAGTCTATGACAATTACAGACTTGAAAGGTTGAAAAAATACTTGAGGCGGTGAGTATCGATGTAAGAGTTTTGTTCTAAAAAAATATTTTAAGGATAAAATAGTAAAAATTTTGGTCAAACTTAAAGTGCTTATAAACTAAAAATTCATAAGCTGGGGGTGACCAGCTTATGGCTTTTGGCTTATTTTTGACTTATAAGCACTTTTAACTTTACCAAACGCGTAGATAAGCCGAAAAGTGCTTATAAGCTAGTTTGACCAGCTTATAAGCTTAGCCAAACACCCTTATAATATTGATTGTGAAAGTTTGCGTACACATTATCCTCCACAAATACCATTTAGAGGAATATATTGGGTTTGTTGTTGTTGTCGTCGAGTCAAGAGCCGACACTAAAACTGCGAAGGTTCCAACAGAAGTCAAACTGGTAGGTAGCCACGGCGACTTCTTCCCCCCCCCCCCCGCCCACACCACCCACCCACAACAAACATAAAGGAAAAATGGAAAAATTCTATCGTATTTTTTTTATACAAATAATATTATAGATATTTTTTCATGTTTTCCTTTATCAATTTGAAGGTCTAACTTGTTTATAACAATTCATAAAAATAATTTTTCATTTCTTCAGATAAAACTTTTGTTATGACAAAATTAAGCCAAGTTAGAGGGAAGATTTATAGTTCAACTCAAATACTCCAATTTCCATACTGAGCAACTCTAAAAAAAAGGAAAACAGAAAACTTTTCATCAAAACTATACCTTTTTTATTGGATATTCCCGAAGGGACCACCAAAACTATATGAATATACTGAATATTGGACCGTCAGTTGAATGTGAAACTTTTAAACTAGAGACCAAATTAAAGTTTAAGCTAAAAGATAGGCACCACACGAAAATCTTTTCTTTTTAGATTATTTTACATAGGGGGAGATGGACTGGACGGTGGAAAATAACTCGCACAATTTGCATTATTTTCTTATTGATAGAAAATTGTAGTTAATAGAAAAAAAAAGTTGGAAAATCCAAATAAAAATAAAGGAATCTTTTCACCATCAAGAAGAGAGAGGAACTTTGGTTGAGTGTCCCTTTTTTTGCTATTTCTTGACGTCAACCTCTCTTCTTCCTCTTCCTTCTTTCAAGTCCTAATTCTAATCAAAACCCTAATCGAACGATCACAAAAATCTCCATCACGACCAAATAATCACTTCTCTTTTGCAAATTTCGATCAATTAACAACTATGGCAACCAGTGGAAACAAGAATATGAACGCCAAATTGGTTTGTTCTCGCATCTTTGATTTATCAATTTTGCGTATGGGTTGAGCTTTAATTCCATAAAGATTCCTTCTTTTTGCCTTATATGATCTGGGTCTTCTTTAATTCTTCAGAATTTTGATTCTTGACTTAGAATTTTTAATTTTATTTTTGGGTTTGATCACGAAAAGTTCTTCAATTTGGATTTCTATTCCTCCTTGTTTCCTTATTTGTAAAATTTAGATATTGTATTTCTCTTAGTTTTGTGCTTTGCCGGTAAGTTTATTATTCATGTGTACCCTGATATGCTGAATTTGATCTTTCACTTGGTTACTATTTGCTGATGCTATGTTGTCAAAGTAAAATTGTTTATGGTTTGAATTGGTTTGTATATTACTATGCTAAATTTGATCTTTCACTTGTTTATTATTTGTGAATGCTATGTTGTCAAAGTAAACCTGGTCATGGTTTTTTCCATTGTAGCTATTATGATATTTTTTATTTTTATGCCTTTTGCGGTTGTACTGAAGTTTGGATAAAGTATTGAAGTGTTTTTGGTTTTAGGTGCTTCTTGGAGATGTTGGAGCTGGAAAATCTAGTCTAGTTCTGCGTTTTGTTAAAGGACAATTTATTGAATTTCAGGTAGGTGCTTAGCTCACCATTTGATATGTGTAGCTGGAAAGTCTAGTCTAATTCTGCACCTCCTATTTGACATTTTGACTTAATTCGGCTTATCTTATTTTAGGAATCAACTATTGGTGCCGCATTTTTCTCCCAAACAGTAGCAGTAAATGATGCAACTGTAAAATTTGAAATATGGGACACAGCAGGCCAAGAGAGATACCACAGTCTTGCTCCAATGTACTATAGAGGAGCTGCGGCTGCTATAATTGTTTTTGATATCACAAATCAAGTAATTCTCCCACTTGGTTCCATCTAGTCATCATAATTCACTCGATACTGATCCCATAATGTTTGCCAGCATGTGAACTTGCTAACTTAGTTTCTCAATTATTTATTTATAGGCATCGTTTGATAGAGCCAAGAAGTGGGTTCAGGAGCTTCAGGCACAAGGTACCTTTGACATCTTAAGTTGCATCATTGTCTGACTTTATTCCTGTAAGGCCGTACCGAAATATTCCTAACTTAAATTAGTATGTCTGAAATACTTGGTGATGTATGATTAGGAGGGTTTTAGCTGCTTAGAGTAAGGTAGAATCTTTTGGCAAAAAATGGTGAAATATTCTTACATTCAATTAGTGGGTAACGTGAGGGGATCGGTTGGAGTTATTGCTTCGCACATGGGTGAGTTGAAAGTTGAACATCGTTGCACAATGAAGCCAGAATGGAAGGAAATAAGCACTGTTTTCTTTTCATGGATGGTGCATACAACAGTGTTCTTTCAATAACACGTATTGTCTTTTCATATATCTTACTTTTCTCTACCTCAAACTACGTCCCAGGTAATCCAAATATGGTGATGGCACTTGCCGGGAATAAGGCAGATTTGTTAGATGCAAGAAAAGTGGCTGCAGAGGTTAGTGTTTTTGTACCTGTGACTCAACACTGCTTTCCATACGATAGATAGTGATGTGCAAAAACACCACAAAAAGCTTAGCTGGAGATATGGGTGTCAATTTACACATGATGTTGTTATTCGCCCAAGTATTTATGAATTGCGTGAATGATAGCTTAAACTACATGGCCGACATGACCAGTTATTCAGGGTTTGCAAGGTTATAGCGGGTACCCTAAGGTATTTTGAGGTGTTCTTCAGTGCTATTTTCTCATCCTCTTGTTACTGCCTACACCTGAAAATTAGAAATTTACAACATGCATGTGCTTAAAGCTTCATTCTTGGCTATAAAAAAAGCTTCATTCTTGGTCTACGCTGTTGTGTTTTTTTTTTCTTTTTTTCCTTTTCCCACTTTCCTTTTCTTGGGTTGCTTTTTTATTGGAAAAAATTGTTCTCTCTCTCTCTCTCTCTCTCTCTCTCACACACACACACACACACCCAGAGACACACACCCAGAGTAGTGTTAGAATTGTTTAAAAAAAATTAATGTGCAATCTTTAATTTTGAGCATCAGCACAAAGAAAGTGCTGGCAGGCATTTTTACTTGGTGGGAACTGGAAAGAGAGAGAGTAACAAAGCTAGTTACAGGTTTTCTGGAAAACTAGACTTCCCAAACAAAAATTAAAATAGGTGAGCTTAGTCCTTCAAACTTTGGCTTCACATCTTTTTAGACCAAGTTTGATCTGGATGCTGTCCAAGTATACAATGATGCACACTGGGAGGAAATACGTCCAGATTATGCCACTTTGGATCACTCTTGGAAACACCCCACCCCAAAAAGATTAAAGGAAATAAAAGTGTTTTTTTGTCGCCAAAATAGGATTAGTGGCTCCCACTAAATCCAGATCAAGAAAATTCCGTAACAGGCACTTATACAGTTTCCTTTTCTTTCTTTCTTTCTTTTTTCTTTTCCTTTTTTCTGAGTTTTGATAATGGTGGTGAGATTTGTACAGCAGTAGAAAATATATAAATTTATTCTGTTGGAGAGCCTATATGATTGAATATTGGAATGAAATGGTTACAAACATGTCGAAATGGGTAATCAGTATTCATAACATCAACTGTAGTTGTTGATAACGGTGGTATCATGGCTAGCTTGTGCAGATCGACTAGTTTATCGGGTACCTACTACTTCCACCAACATAGTCATCGAGTAACTCCAATCTGTAAGGTTTTGACAAATGAGAAAACATACCTAGTGTCCTTTTGGTTGGATACGGAACCTTGGTTCCCAAGATTGTTACTCCAGTTCTCTTACTGGTAGGCCACTTCTTGGGGCCTAAACTCATATACAGGTCCTCTGACCCAGCTATGACAAAAGACGTTCTATATGGCTGAAAACCTGTGAGTTTGTGAAACTTGCAATGTAGATGTTTCTGTAGAAAACATTAAACAACAGGTTTTGAATTTTTCTTCGAAACTGGGTTGGTAGTTAAAGATAGCATCACGATCCAAAATTCAA